GCCTCTTTTTATTTATGGCCTTAGCATGCGCAGGGCGGAGTGTTGTTGGAAGTCGTAGCTTGTCGGGCTGAAGCCAATGGGGTGATGTTTGGGGAAAGTCCCCCGACATTTCCCTAACGCTGAAAACACAACGGACGCAGACAGTCTGCACAAGACGTGTTTAAGCGTGTGGGTGTGGTTCAGGTATTATTTATTTGTGGGGTACTAAATCTGTCTGCACATTATGAGGACTTGTCTCTTTATTATGGGCACAAAAAGCGAGTCGTCTAGATCATTACGTGTTTTAAGGTTAAGGTTAAGTTTCGTGTTAAGAGTGAGGTTTAAGTTAAGGTTAGGTTAAGGGTTAAGGTTAGACAAGTAGTAACTATGATCGATGTAACGTCAACGTAATGTGTGTGTGTGTGTGGGTGGTGCTGGTTTGGGTGTGGGGAGGATGAGCGGAGCGCTGGGAGGAGAATCTGAGCTGAAACCATTAGGTCACTGGTCTCAGACCACGTGTAGCAGGAGGCAGAGGGCATGGCTGCACCAGCTGTGTTAACTAATTACAACACTTTCTCTCAGAGAGGAGGAAATGGCCTCCTGCATTGATGGATTGGTGTGCAAACCTCCAGGGCCTCTTGTGGGAAGTGGTTTTAGACCACTTAGCCAGACAGTGAGGGGTGGGTTAGTATCCGCTTTAAGGGGCTGTTGACACTTGATTTGCATTTATCTGCAAGGTAAGTTTTTATCAATTGAATAATAATAATAAGTGTCAGAGCCAGCTACCCCTAAACCCTCTCTGTGGCACGTAGCACCAACCGCTGCTCTTCGCTATCTCTGATTGCTTTTACGTTTGGTCTGGCTGGATAACAGTGAAGGTTTATGGCACGTGGGAATAAGCTGCATTAAACTAATTATTATTATTATTACACTCAGACAAGTCAGATTTGGTTTTTCAATACCAATATTCATTGATTGACAAGTGGACAGTGTTCATTCATTCGTTCATTTGTGGCCCAGGACACATTTGCGTTCACACAGAAAAAAGAACGATAACCTCCAAATGCGGTTTGAGTGATCGGATCTCTCTTTTTTTTAGTGTGTTCCAGCACTTGTGATCGGAGCACTCATGTTGATACCAGGTCTGAACGGTCTCTCAGACTCACCCTGGGTCTGGGTCCACAGCCGTCTGTACCTGTCTCCACAAAGTGGACAGGGACTCTTGAGGTGACAGTGAGTGATACTTGAAGAATCCCAGTTTTACTGAAGAGTCTCCAACTGATGATTGGCAGGGGGCAGCGCTACATCTCTACCACACTTATGCATCTGTAAATAGTTGCTATGATCAAACTCTTTTACTGTATGCAGCAAAATGGCTCTAATGACTGAGATGTCACTGGACAAACTGAATTTGAATCTGCTGTTTCTCATCACATCACATCCACCTCATATCAACTCTAGAAGTTTCTAATGAGTCAAGTTTTTGTCGTCAGCTTGTTCTGCTTCCCTCAGTCATTTTTTTTTAATGATGCTGATCTTCAAGCGTGAGCTCCTCCAGCTGTGGAACCATAAATATCTGCGTTTCCCACAGGAAGTGTGTTAAGGTGGGGTTAGTGACAGTGACTCAGGGAGAGAGGGAAAAAAACAACCCATTGTAGTTCAGTGGAAACCTTATTACAGTTTTCTTTATTGTCAGTTTGGTTTAATATGGATTATGGATGAATTTTGCTCGAGTTCCTGCCCCGACCTTCAGATTCGTGCACCAGAGTCTTGTTTCTGTCACATGTGAGCTGGACATGTAAATAACTGAGAAATAAATTGCAGCGACATGTTGAGGTTACTGTGAGGTTCACGAGAGACGTCTTCAAATCCCGTCACATAACGTAACGAAAACACAAAAGTGATGTGAAAGGGGCATAAACCAGGGATACACACCGTTGTAGGCCCGGGGCTACACCTGTATACATTTCCCTAAATACTGCACTCATTCAGATATTTCATGTACTTGTCCTTATTACCCAGGGAAAAGAAAATTCTAAATAAGATCTCTTCCTTCCTTCCTCTTTTATTTTTCTATTACATTTAGATTATTCTCTCCTACCTTTTAAATTTAGCTCTGACGAAATTGCTTTCCTCTTTTTTCATCCTATTTCTATCCATATATCCATATTTCTGTCTCCCACCACTCATCACTATTCATCTCAAACAATGAGCTTATTGAGATAAAATTAAGAAGCTGAAGAAAACTTGATTTTCTTACATGTGATCCGACATCATTTCTGAAATTTGTGACAGTGATGATCAAATTTAAGTGTAAAGAAAACTCTGGGGAGCCTGAGAGCACAGCAGAAGATCTGCGTCATCATGTCTTAGATTGCTTTAGTCTCTTGCTCCTTATTTCCCCTGAGGTAGCTAAGTAGAGTCTCATCACAATTTATTCATCTTCAAATAAGACAATTAACAATTATGAGAAACTAAATTTGAGTATTTCCATCTTGTACTTCCACTTACTCAACTCCAATTTATAAATCTCTGACATTGTTAGATATTTGTTTCGTACAAATGAATTGAACTTTGTACAGCGTTCTCCCCTTAGGGACCCAGGGACAGTGTACTGCATAATGAGTACTTTTACTTTTGATACAGTAAAGATATACTACACACCTAAATGTGTTCTTTGATGAAATACATGAATGTTGGTTTTTATATCACATGCACTTGGGTGAAGTACACTTCAAATACAGCTTGCTACAAATGAATTACTATACTACTAATTTGATAAGTATTTTTACCTTGATATGGTGATGGTTAATGGACTGTATTTATATGGAGCTATTCCAGTCTTATCGACCACTAAAAGCACTTGACAGAACAAGACACATTCATCCATTCACACACACATATTCATGCAGCGCTTCCATTAACAGAGCTTTTTTCCATCACATACTATTTACTGTACATATGCAGCATGTACTCATGACAAAGCCTTCAGGATTGCCCAAGGACATGTAGACTAGGGACCATCTGACCTTCTGGTTAATGGACAACCCTCTCCACCCCCCAAGCTCCACCACCCCTTGTGTCCAATACTATTGCTTTTACCGACTGAGTGAAGCATATCAATATTTTTGGTTGTCTTGTATCCATAGTATCGACCCCAGTCTCAGCGTGTGGTTCAGTGTTGTAAACAAGGTGCGCTCGGACAGGATTAGGTTTGGCAACAAGTGGGCAGAGAGGCCGGAGGCAGACAGCCCATTAACCTGCCCTTCATTCACTCAGGCACAAATACAAAACACTGCAGAGTCCAGCAGGAAAAGCACGGGAGTAAATATTCAAACCAATCATGTGATGGATTCTATTTATTTGTGCAGTGTCTGTTTTCCAAACCTGCCTGTTTGTTCTGTGTTGAAGCTCTGGATCTACTTCAGAATTATTCCTTGTCATTAGCGAGTCCTCCTCACTTTTTTTTTATTTGTGTGCAGAGCTTTTTATAAAGAGTCAATGATGCAGAGTGAAGTCGTGTTCATCCTACCTGGTTTATCTGCAATGAAGATTTTATAGTCAATATTTTTCATAACATTTTTCTTAATTCATGTTCACGTCTGTAGTTTATATAAAGTTTGAATGATTTACTGAACTCATCAGCTATTTCAGAGGTCTGTCAAGCATCGACACAATCTTCACAACTTTTCAAAATAAAATCTCGATACTTCAGTTCGATACATAAAGCTTTGCGGCAACAAAGCTAACACATGCTTTTATTTTGCAGACAGTTTACTAAAGAGGAAGTGATTGATGATGGAGACAAACTCCCGATTATCAAAATGATCAGGTGGATATTTTACCCACCGCCCCTGAAGTTTACTGGAGGACGTAGACGAAGACATGTTCAATTCATCCACATGGTGTTTTGCCTGGTGGCTCACAACAGAGCAGAGCCGATGTAACTGTTATTATTAACTCCTGTGCTCCTCCTGCTATGTCAAGTCAAAGTCTCTGCCTTGATATACTGGTGTTGGTAAATTGGCAGTTTGACAAGCTGTCACATACTTTGCCCCCGAAAGTGAATGCAGAAATATAACCATGGCCGATGACTCTGCTCTGTGGCCCGAGGGAAAGTGAATCAAACTCTTTTTTTGAAGAGCTAAATTTTACCCACGTTCGCTGCTTTGCTTTAAGCTGCTCTGGCCTAGATTCCACTGGAGTCTCTCTGGTATGTGAATAAATAAATATAATCTTCTGTCAACTGATAATGGCTGAATCCCACAGTCTGTGCATGTGTGTTCCCAAACCTCCTGCGCATGTGTACGTTATTTGTGTGTGATCATTAGTGTTGGCTGTCATGTCCCATTTTTTATAAGTGTTGTTTTTGATAGAAAGTTGGAAATGTTTTTATTTTTAGTCCAATGACGGACGTGACCATGGAATCTCACAAGATTCTTTGCGAAACCCAGGCGCCTCTCTGGGTTTATTTTTAGACCAGGTTGGATTGGTTCACTTCTACTGGTTTGGTGTCGCTGATTTGTATTGTCACAAATCCATAACACAGCTGACCAGCACTAAAAGGGCTTTACAAGGAACAGTATTGATTGCACCCGTAGATTGTACCTATAACTTAGCTGGAGTGTCTGTCTCTGCAGGGTCAGGGTGAAGCATTTAGAGGGTGTGCTCATAACTGGATGAATAAATCACAAATTTTATTATAGAATTTATTACGGTCACTAAAGCAACCTATTGTTTTATGCATTGCTGAATCGGTTCCTCACAGTGAATCATTTGCAGCCATGAGGACACAAGCGAAACATTCATATGCTGCCATGCTTTTACTTTGAAAAGTTTCAGGTTCAGAATGAGTGTTTACTGAAAAAACTGTATATATCTACTACAAGAAAGTGCAGTACTGCGTTTGGTACAATTTGGACACGTGATACATTGAACATGAATAAACACATCAGAAAATATCAGCTTCAAACCAACAACCTTACCGGTGGCATTAAAATGTTTCATGTGTCTGTCTCCAGCCTGAAGGCGGTGCTGTCAGCCCCTCCGTCCAGCGGGGCGTTGGATCTGTCCGGTATCCCTCTGGTGGCTCGAGACATGGAGCGTCTGTGTGCACACCTACAGCGCTATGCGTCCACGGTGGTCAGCATGGAGCTGGGCTTCAGCGAGCTGACGGACGAGGCCTTCCTCCTGCTCCTGCCCACGCTGGCCGCCCTGCCACATCTGGAGACCCTGGCTCTGAATGGAAACAGGCTGACCAGAACTATCCTGAAGGAGCTCACTGATGCACTGAAGGTCAGGGAGGCACTTATCTTTTTGATTTCTTTTTTAAATGTACTGATCATATGTAATTGCAATATAGTATTGTTGCTTGTATCCTTGTGTGTACTAAAGAGGAAAAACCTTTGGAGAACAATTTCAGGGAACAATTAATTTTCATTGACATTATATGTTTGTGTAACATCAAAAGTTTGAAGCTAATTTAAGGTATAAAAACGACCTTTTAATATCTTATGTATAAAACAATATGTTTATAGTACAGAACCCGAAATGAAGTAAAGTTGAGAAGTTTAGGTCAATGTTAGCTCTTCAAATATATCTAGATACTAACAAGACCCTGGAACTAAAGTCAGGGACTAAATTAAGAACTAAAAATGTGTTTATGATTCAACCGTGAAAATTAGACAAATGCATCTGATGGCCCACTAGTTCCTACACGTTCTAAACTTCTGCCTCCAGAGCAAAGGCATCTGTGGCTCCAGAAAAATGCTAAATTAACTAAACTTGGTTCCTCAAATCAATTCCTGACTTCCCTGAGATTTTTTATGCTCCCTAAGAAATTGTGGAAATTCCCTAAAGATTTTTAAAAAAATATTCCCGCAGGCTGTACAAGTCGACACGCATGCTAAATCAAGGTCTTTGATTTGTATGCCTGTTTGTCTGACTTGGCAGCAGAGAGAAGGCAGGAGGAGCGAGGCTGGGAAGATATGCAGCAGAGGTCGCTCCTGTCAGACTCTAATTCACTTTCACTCTCAGCTGTGTTAGCTACTAGAAGACACACAGAGGAGTTCCGCTCCATGTGTCGTGCAGGCACCTCCTGCATTGCAAGTGTGTGGTGGTGGTACATGTAGACAATCCTCTTGACATTGATCTTATGCAGTGATGATGATGATGTTGGTCATTTAAATACAGTTTGGTGATATTTTGTGCCCTGTAGGATCCAGGCAGTTTCCCCAGCGTGACATGGATCGACCTGGGCAACAACGTGGACATCTTCTCCCTGCCACAGCCCTTCCTGGTGAGCCTGAGGAAGCGCTGCCCCAAGCAGGGCAACTTGCCCACCATCCTGGAGTTCGGAGAGAGTCAGGCCAGTGACCCACCCGAGAGGCTGAGGGGGCTCGAGGAAGAGGAGGAGACAGACGACACAAACCGGACAGAGAGCATGGGCGAGCTGCGGTCAGAGGTCGAGGAGGAGCTGGACGGCGAGATGGAGATAGAGGAGATGATGGAGGAGCTGCTGGACTTTGACAGGGAGGTGCAGGGAAAGGAGGACGAGGAAGAGAGCATGTGGACAGTGCAGGAGCAGAGGAAAGGTGGTAGGGGGCGGGGGAGAAAAGAGGAGGAGGAGGGCAGGGAGAAGGAGGTGAGGAAGAGGGCACAGCAGCCGGGGAAGAGGGCGGTGATGGCGGAGGACGATGATGACACGCAGAGCCACTCCTCCCGTCTGTCCTACTCCAGCCAGTCGCTGCACTCCTCCGGGGCCGTTGAGCCAATGAGGGTGGAGGAGGACGACTTGACCGACCAATCAGACCACTTGACCTGATTGCTGCTCCACACTCTGCTCATACTTCCCCCTCCTGTATCGAGTCTGGTGTGACAGGACACGAGAGAGGGCTCCTGCAGAGGCTAACGGAGTGTGCTCAAAGTCAAAGAGGCTGCAGCGGTGGCAGGATGTGATCCATAATGAACACGCCACTCGATACTCCCTCCACTCATCTGATTCTGGACGAGCCACAGAGACATTCAGACACTGGCAGAGTGACTGCTGAACCCTGGTGACTGTAACACGAGGAGACAATCCCCAACAGGACATCAGCTTTATCCTAACTGTCGCTAATACATAGATAATTATATCACGTGAGGCTTTTATGTATAGAATGATAATCTTTATTCAGGTCCTTCCTCCTGGTAACCCTGGTAATACCTACATGTGCCTGTAACACTTCCCATAACTGGTTGAGAGATTCAAAAGAAAATATATAAAAATTGAGACTCATACAAAGTAATCAGGGCCCTTAATCTTTTTGGAAAAAAAATTTTTTTTGCCATAAAAAACTAGTGGAAATGTTTAAAATATCTCCCTCCCACACGCAGCCAGATGGACCAGAACATAGACAGGATTCGAAAGTCAACCCTACAGATTTGTGGAAATCAGTTGCTACTCAAGAAACGAGCAGATGCACAGACAAGTGCACCGAGGAGGAAATTAGTCAGCTGAAACCAAAAGAAGTAAACAACTTGGCTCAGTGGTCTTATTGCTATGTGTCCCCAAGTCCTGGGGGATCCAGCTGAAATATTTAGTAGCCTTTCTTTTCATAATCCAGGTCATGTGTCGCTCTGCGGTACTGTACACGGATGTGAATCACATGTTTACAGTGCCGTGTCTATATATAGGCCGCAGATATCTTTATGTACTATGTAGCTCTCACCCTGCTAGTGCTTTCCCTCCATGTTGTCACTTATAGTCCATGCAAAGCTTTAAGAACTAACAGTATTTTTGGATGTACAGTACATAGAACAGTATATATATATATATATATATATATATATATATATATATGTGTGTGTATATACAGTGTATATACAGTATGCAGTCATTTAGATTAGCCATTTCAAGAGAAACACCACACAATTCAATTGAACCAAATTTGTTATTTTTGTGGTCTGGGTTTAGTCATCAATGTGTGTGTACTGTACATGAGTAATACTTCTAACCTGGGAGTGAAGCCGAGCCTCACTCTCCAAGGAACTTGTGGAAAAAGGTTGTATTGATATGGAAAGTAGGATTATGTTAAAGTAGAGAAGTATTAACTTCCCATAGACGCTCATGCTCGAGCAGTTAAAAATGTGTGTATGCAGTTTATACCTCTCTGCAGACAGCTGTCCCGTGCACCAATACGTCTCAGCCTGTGCAGCCATTAAAGTTTAAAATGAAGGCGCTTTGTGAGGCTGTTGCATCACGAATCTTCACCTCGGCTGACTCCACCACGGAGGCTGGAGTAATGCCTGGCTACAGGGGGGGGTGAAATAACACAAACACTGGGCAGTATCATTCGGTGGAATACAACAATGCCAAAAACACAAGAGTTCACTTCACCTTGTTTATGATATCAATGTCGATGAATATCATCAAAAAACAGCTGTTGTGTTGTTTTGTATTATATATTCAGGTGTTTGTGTATATTTTACAGGGCCTCTCTCCGCTGACTTTACATATGATGCTCAGTGTTGTAAAAAGTACCTCTCGGCCTATGAAAGCATTTCTATAATATTTTCTGTGTCGCTGGAAGAGCTCTCTTAAATCTGAAAAGCAACCAAGACAATGCTATGAGGAAGGAAATCGAACCAACGTGTTGTATGATGTGTTGTGATGTGTTCTGCTCCGAATAGTGAACACATATACATACACTGGATGTAGTGCTGCAACTCCATGGTCAAATATGTTTGGTTTTGTACTTTGTATGTATATTAGGGATTAATAAACACCCACTAGGGGGTAGCTCACCCAAGGCAGATCCATTTTTCTATATTGTTTCTCCTTTGAGTGTTGGAGTGGGGGGGTATAACCGATCCCACCTGACATGAGGGAAGAGAGGAAGTGCAGCTCACAATTCATTGAACCATCCACACTCAAATTCACACTTTTGGGCAATTTAAATTAACCTAAACCGCATGTGAGAGGAAGAGTGTCCAGAGAAAACCCACGTGGGCACAGATTATAGGAACAACACAGTTCGAACCCAGCGAGCAACAATGTCAACCACTGTACCACCGGGCCATCCAATAATCCACTTTTGAACAACGCGAACAGAAGCCATGCCGACTCGATGAGGGTACAGTATTGTAGGTGGTTTTACATGTGGACGAGCTCCACGAGCTTCTCTACTGCCACAGTGGTGGTGATCCACGACTGCTGCTAACATATCTTTCTGCTACTGCCCCCCACTGGTCATGTGATGCACTGCTTTTTATAGACTCGTCGCACAGCATTGGGAACCAACTCTCCCAAGAAAAGTCTTGATGTTAACACAAACACATGACGAGGGACAGAAATCGTTTTGTAAAACAATGAAAAGTTCAAACCCCTAAAAGTCTTTCAAAGTTACAGAAACAGTCGTTCATAGACCACCGAGTCCTAATGTCGGAATAGTGTGTGTGTGTGTGTTTGTATGTGTGTGTTTGGCGAGGAGGAGGGTTCCTGAACCAGTTTGACCATCTGAGCCTTTCTGACAGATTATATTGACGACTTCAGGAAACCTCGGCTTCTGCTGTTTGGTTTTTGAACCATCGCTAAATCAGGAGCGTTCCCTTTAAAATATTGAAGTTGTAGCTTATTTATGTAAAATGAATTAAAACAAGCCACGTGTTACCCGTCTGTCTATCAGCTTTACTTCAGCTCTGTACATGTTTGCACATGTCTTTGTGGAAAGGTCAGGTACACTTGTCGAGCTGTATGTCTTGACAGCTGCTTTGCAGTAGTAGCACTGGACCGAATGACGGCCAGTTTCTCAAAGCATCACATGCAGGAATATTTTATTAAAACCACGTTCTGACAAGCAAAAAATAACTGTAACAAATCAAAATACAGCCTGTGACTTACTGATCCACTTCAATGTACGGGAGAAACAACAGGACATTTTAGTAGAATGAAGAACTAAATAATAATTCAAGTGTTTTTGCAAATACTGGGTAACAAAGCTACATATATATAAAATGTGTGGTAACCACCTTTTCCTTATCGAATAAAGAGTAAAAAGGGAAGAAAGGTTCATATCACCTACACCTGCACGTTGTATTATAGTATGACTTCATTATGTTCTGACTTCTCAGATGACAATAGATCCAGAGCTGCATGTGAGAACGGTTCTTTACTGCTGCAGCGTACCTGTTATTCATTTCCACAGTGATATGCTCTCTTGTCACGTCCTTATTTCAAACAGTGAAGTCGACGACACAATGTTAAATCCCTGCAGTGAAGGTGTAGCTAAGCCTTGTGTTGTGTCGCCGTTTTATAGTGTAATTTTATGTTAATGTTAATAATTTTCGCTTTGTTAATATGGATATGTATATACAATATACATAATAGTTGTTCATTTCACCTTTCCTCCATCATTCCTTGTTATTTCTCTCTTTTCTCCATAATGTTGTATTCTTCCACTAAACATATATTTATGAGTCAGTATATTTTTATTATTTCTCCAATTGTTTGTGCTCTACTGAGTGCTACTCAAGTTGTACCTGATTCAAACAACAACACAACTATGTAAATCACAGGCTGTGTTATAAAATCTCTAAACATCTGAATGAAGATTTTTCTGAATGACGAGCCTGATCAATACACAGTAATTCATTTCATTTGATTTGGGAAAACTGACTTACAGGCAAGTTTTAATGGATAATGTGAATAATCAGCAAAAAAGACAAACAACTAATTAAAAGTGATTCATTGCAATTTGAATATATATGCACAGCCTATGTAGGAAATCAAATGTGCATGGAGAAATAAGTAATTTTGAAATGAAAATTTATATAATCATTAAAAAAATAAAGCCTGAGTCCATGTAAAGCCTGTGCATCAAAGTCTTTTAAGCAACCTTTTGTAGGCTGCGTGTGTCTGTGAATGTATTGTGATCATGATATGCAGATGTCCATTACGAGAAGAATCTTCCCTTTAATCTGCGGCACCTCCACACTGAGCTCTGAGCTTGTGCTGCATTGAGGTGGATTTTACACACGGGTCATTACAGCGAACCCTTTAAACAGAGAGTAGACATGCCGCCGTGCTGTTCCCAATCACGCATGATTCATGTGAGACACAAGAAGAACGTCCTTGTGAACCACAGTGACTATTAGCATTTGGAGCTATTGTATGAAAGGACAGCACGTACTGATTATCAAGTAGTGAGTTCATATTAACGTTTGATTATCGTGAACAGAGTGGATCCCTGGTTTTATAGACTGTTGGTCAGTAGAGATGAGAGGGACGTGCACATGCTTGTTAATGTGCTGAAGACATGCACGTGTCTGCTTTCATGTTAAGGTCACTGCAGATCAAAGCGAGGACGTCCCTGCTGGAATTAGGCCGATATATGAACACAGACTGGGCTTTTAATTTGTAACCTGTGATCCATCACTCAGTGATAGGAGCGATTCTGAGCAGTTTGATCTATCGCTGACATCAAACTGAACTCCTGCAGAAAACTTTGATATGATTCCACACAGAGTTTGAATGGCCATGGTTCGATTAACTCATTCCCCGGGTTTCAACAAGTCATTTTGGAGATAAAACAGTGAGAATAAAGTGTCTGAAGATGCAAACTGACTGAAACTCTTTGTACCTGTTGGTGCGATCAGCGTGTTGTTTACCTGCACTGACTGAGCAGGATGAACTATGGATGCTGTACCTGACCAGAGGTTGCGGAGCTGCCGTGCACGTCTTGCCCTATAGTGCTGTATTGTGAGATGTAAAATAGAAACTAATGTGAAACCGAAACTCTACGTATTTCTCTATATTCAGTATACCTCTCAATTACTCTCTAAACAGTACCTTCCTCTGTCGCTCACCTTTTTCCAACAGCTCCCATGGATCTTTTATTTTCAAGCTAGTTTACTGAGACGATACAACAGAACCAATGCTCTGTGGATTGATATATAGGCCTACAGTAGGTGACACTGTACAACCTAACCTTTTCTGTTACTCCATGGATCTTGCCAATAAATTCTGTGATATAAAAAGATATCCTGTCTGGAGTTTTGTTTTGTGTGTGACTGTGACGACTGCTCCAGGTCTGTTCCTCTACCCACAGCAAATATTTGGATTGCATGTGGCAGCTGCATCCTGAGAGCAGCACAAACTATCCAGAATATATTTTGGATCTACTGCTACATTATGAACCATTCAGACCCCTCAGGGCGTCTGGAACAGGTCTGCTTTCTAAGTTCAGTTTCCGTGCTCCACATTTGCAGAGCAAGCCCACCCCAAACCCTTAGCTCTTTTAAATCAAAGCTGAAAACTTCCTTTGCAACAGCCTTTTATCAAATCAGACATTGACTAATTTCTTTAACTGTGCTGTTATTTTAACTCTCTTATTTCTTATTGTACTTATTTATTTCATATTCTGTATTCAACTCCTTTCTAAAGTTGAATTTATATTTAAATGCACCTTTTTGTATTGTCTTATGTTGCTTTTACAACTTGTCATGATGCCTTTAATATTTCGTGTAAAGCACTTTCTTTTGCCTTGTTGTTGAAATGTGCTATACAAATAAATGCCTCACCTCACCTCACCTTAACCTAACTTAAACCTAAACTTAAACCTAAAACATGATTTCACCTTAGAATTCAATGATTTTTCATTATTTGCAAGTCTTCAAAATGTGCAATCAGATTTTGGTAAATGCAAAATAAGTCATACCTGGACCACACCCACACAAACACTTAATATGATTGCAGAGGATAAAGTTAAACACTTTTTGCAGGCTGTCACACACACAAACACACACGCACAGAAAGAGCAAGTATGATGACAGAGTAGAAGCAGCCTCCACATTCAATAGAATAATGATACTGTATTCTTAACTATATGGCTACTACTACTACTACTAATAATAATAATAATAACACTTAATGTCCGTATTTTCTAAAGTGAATTCTTCATGTATCATGTGATGTATGGGGGACAAAGGTGATGGTGTTGGGCATCAAACCACAACAGGCAGGTGTGGACCACACTGATGGTCCTCGCCTGACATCTAGTGGTCTGTTTTGCAAAGTGCAAAGCTGCCTTTATTAACCGTGCAGGTATGTTTGTGTGATGAAGAGGAGCGCGTGACACACACACACACACACACGTGAGGAGTGTGTGTCTGCAGTGTTTCTGCAGCAGAGCAGCACATGTGGTGTGAGACACACTTTACATCTCAACACACACTCAAGAGTCCAGCAGAGACAGTCAGAGCCGGAAACAGCGGTTTACTGACTGTACCTCCAAAATAAAAGCAAAGGTAAAATAAGCATTACAAAAGGAAATAAAGACAATTTTATTGAATGAGAAACGAAACAAGCGTGAAATTGGAATATTGAACAAACGTGTCTCTCGTATTTAGACTCTGATTGGTTTAAACTTGTGTTGTGAGGGATTATTGTCTAGTTCCCCCGAATGCGGAAGTGCACGTGTTACTAAACCCCGCACGCTTGACCACGTGCGTCTGGCGGCACATAACCGCTGCGTCACATCCGGCGAGATTGGTCTTTTTTTGTTTTCCCGTATCCGCCATTTCAGTTTTTTGAAGTTAGTTGTCATCGGCCGCGGTGTAGTAGCAGGATTTGTGCGGCTCAAAGCTCCGGGGAGACGAACGGGGCAGAAATCCGCTCCCAGGCCAGACTCCGGTGGTCCGTGCTTCCCGGCGGAGTCGCTGTGTCGGAGATTTGATGTCCAGACGAGCAGCTGCGGATGTCTCCTGTTTACTGAACGTGCTCTAGGCGCTAAAGTTTTTGTATGAGTTGAAGGCTCCGCTCGCGGATAACGGGAGGGAGAGCACGGAAGGCCCCGGTGAAGCCTCGGCTTTGGAGTGGTTATCATGGCCGGAAATTTTGACGCGGAGGACCGCGGCAGCTGGTACTGGGGTCGGCTGAGCAGGCAGGAGGCTGTGTCCCTGCTGCAGGGGCAGCGGCACGGCGTGTTCCTAGTGCGGGACTCCATCACCAGCCCCGGCGACTACGTGCTCTCGGTGTCGGAGAACTCCAAAGTCTCACATTACATCATCAACAGCATCAGCAACAACCGGCAGTCCGGTCCAGGTAAGAGAGCGGCGGCGGGCTGAGGGGGCGCCTCTTGTGGGTTGGAGATGCTGATGTGACCGCTCTTGCATGACTTGCACCAAAGGCGGTGCGCAGTGGGGTCCCTTCTCTCTCTCTCTCTCTCCCCCCACCCACCCCCCTCATGAGTGGAGGATACAGCAGGCCAGACACCCCGAAACACGTGCTGGTGTAACGGCGGCTTATTAGCAGACAGACACACCTCTGATCAGGATGCTCACCAGATGTTACACAACATGGTGTCTGAGCTGAGCCCACTGGTGCACGTTGATGGGCGGCGTGAGTGTAGTAATGTGTGGACTGGTGCACCGTTAAAACCAGTCTCATTCACCAGCTGGAAGAGTTTTGGAGATGTTTGAAAGTCAGACTTTGTCTCCTGCCTGTGCTGCAGCAGAATATGTCTTTTTTTTTTTKTTTCCTCGTAGCTTTCTCAAAGATGCACAGCGCTTTGTTGGAAGGAAACAAAATGCCAAATAAGGAAACACGAATCCTTCCTTGTCATTCTGGAAATCACCACCATCACACGTAGTTACAGAAATAAACAGGATTCACGCCTGACACATTTGAACATGCTCAAGTTGGTAACTTGTCTCTCTGACGCCTCTTCCATCCTCCCTTGTTTCCATCAGGTTTGGTCCACCCCAGGTTCCGTATCGGTGACCAGGAGTTCGACGCCCTCCCCGCTTTGCTAGAATTCTACAAAATCCACTACTTAGACACCACCACTTTGATAGAACCCATCAACAAGTCCAAACACACCTCCTTCACCAACGTGGGCCCTGGCGGAGGCCCCCCACCACGCCTGGAAGACGAGTACGTCCGAGCACTTTTCGACTTCCCCGGCAATGATGAGGAGGATCTCCCGTTCAAGAAGGGTGACATCCTCCGCGTTCTCGAGAAGCCAGAGGAGCAGTGGTGGAATGCCCAGAACTCAGAGGGCCGAGCGGGGATGATCCCAGTGCCGTACGTTGAGAAGTACCGACCGGCGTCTCCCAATTCGGTGGCCGGGCCTGGCGTGCCGCCGGGAGGGATGGGGATTCTAGGGAACTCTGACGGCTCCACGGCTCAGTCCGGCACTCCGCTTCTGGGAGACCCCAGCCAGTACGCCCAGCCCACCCCTCTCCCAAACCTCCAGAATGGACCTGTGTATGCCAGGGCCATACAGAAGAGGGTGCCCAACGCTTACGACAAGACAGCCCTGGCTTTAGAGGTAAATATGGACATGCTGTGTTTCGCCTTGACGCCCAGCATCCTCTTAACATGTGCTTAAGGGAAGAAGACATTGAGCAAAGAGGGATGTAGGAGTAGCCCTGTAAAGCTTATCATGTCTGAGCTCACATTGTTTGGTGCTTTGATTTTTTTCTTCTGTATTTGTTGAGCAGGAATCAAGGTCAGAAAATCCTCATTCAACCCTCTGTGTAGTTTTTCCTCAATAATCTATAAGCATTGTAATAAGTCCTCTTTGGAGATCAGTGTAGTGACAGCACAGTTAATCTGTAAAGTCTGAAGTAGCTTCAACATTCAGCGTTAGACTTGCTTTTGAGTTCAAGGTACTTTTTTTAACAGTAACTCCCAGTAAAAGATGAAAGGGTTTCCCAAAATATGAAAATTCCCATTAAGCTCTGCTCCCAGTAGCTGGACTGTTAAAAGTGTCCGGAAGCAAGAGCAAGGCTCCCACGGAGCAGGTCGTTGGGGGAAGGAAATAGTTTGTGTTTGGGAACAGGACCATTTCCTTTAGTCTCTGTGAAGCCAGGAGTCAAGCTGAGCCTGGAGTTCAACTTGGAGACGGAGCCGTCGCTGTGTGCTCATGTCTCCTTCCCTCGGCGCTGGACATTACTGCCAGAGACACAGATCCCACCTTTGTGTTTTTCTAAACCGTACCGTCATTTCTTTTTGCGGAGCCGTAGCACTGCTGCTGTTTGAACTTTACTTAGTTCCACCTGTCATGTAGATCCTGTGTAGAGTATGGGCTGGTTTCTACCACTCCCACCTGTGGCAGACTTTTCCGGCTCTGACCAGTGTGAGGCTGCTTGTTTTCTCAGCTCTAGTTTTCCAGGAATGACTCAGCACCGTGATACTGGACAGTTAATAATTAGCTCGACTTTCCTTGTGTCGTCTTCAGTAAACCCACCAATCGTGAAGATTAATGTTCAGCAACTGAAACTCACTTGCCGTCATGCATACATGTAATCCTTGTTTCATATGGAATTATATGTTCTACTACGTGTTTTTGAAGTTTTAAACAAAACCTTTCAGCATCATCGTGACAGTGGTTACGGACCTTTATGAAAAATGGACGTTGATGTTAGTTTAGATCTGCGGAGATTGTAGTTTGAAATAAAGGCAGCGAAAATGTTGACAAACACCTGCGATAAAATCGGTCCTAGTAAACAGTAGTCCTGCAACTCATTTCTAAAAAGAGATTCTGCATGTGAATATACAAGGGGAAACATAACTAACAGACCCAAACAAAAGTTGTTCAGTTAACTATGAGTCTCTTCATCCGTAGCATGACGACAACCAGTGTGAAACTTGAAGTGTTGAATTGAAGCTGTGCCTCAGAGGGGTTGGATCAGCTGTGTGATCATTTCTAGGCCTCAGTTTGTGGTGCTGCTTTACGTGACTGCATCATGGTGTTTAGTATCTCCCTTTATTCTATAAACACAGGGAGCCGAAGTAGAAAGAGAAAAAACAGCCTAGTATTTAGTGATGGATTACAATAACAAGCAGCTGTGATCAGTATGTGTCAAATGGCTGTGGCTTGTTGCATAATGATGATAGGGTCTGCATACTTGGTGTAGCCAGGGATGTCCTGAGCCAACCCTGAGAACCAACATGCAGCCAAGTAAATAGTGATTTAATGCGCTGGTACCTGCTGCATAAAGCCTCATCAAGTTCTAACCTTCAGCCCAGTCTCTTGGGTAAACCCTCTGTTTAAAAAACAAACAAATGAAGCACCAAATATGTCCTGTCAAAACACCGGAGCTCCTCCCGGACACAACACTGATGTCAAAGAGTGACCCACATAACAAGCTAACAGCCGCCTTAATTAATGAAATCCACAAGCAGCAGCGAGGCATCCGAGCAGAGTCATGTCGAGTTATTGCCGTCATGTTGCAGTTGTCACCGTTTGGATTTAAAAGATTATCAAAATCTCTTCTCACATGTGCTGCTGTTTATCTCATGTGATAGTGAACTAAATATCTTTGAGTTTTGCTCCGACGTCATGCTTTACTCCTATCCGAATGTGACGGTCTCGTCTTCGTCGGTGTTGGAGGGGGTTTGCAGTTTTATTCGTTCATTGTTCGATGGATTTGTGTGAAGTGTACATAACTTCTTCATTTAAAAATGCACATATACAATGGAAATGTAGCTCCAAAACATTTCATCACAAGATCCTTGAAATCAGATAAGCCTTTGAGTGTTTCACCTTTATGCCCACGAACAGGTTCTCTTATCTACCAACATCTCAGTTGACCATAACATCTCTTTACTTAAAGGTCCAGTATGTAAGATTTAGGTGAAAGGGAAATTTAATGTAGAATAACCCTCATGATGTTTTCACTAGTTCGTTTCATCTAAATTGTATGAACTGTAGTTTTCTTTACCCCAGAAAAGGCCCTTTATATTTAAAAAATTTTTATTTACATGGAGGGGACCCTCTCTACGGAGGCCGCCATGTTTTTTACATTAGTCCAGACTGAACAAACTAAACACCTTTTGAGTTTTTATGACAATTAAAGTCTACCACAGTTTATTTTTCATGTTTGGAAGGAGAGGGTGAGGTGAGGGGTGTTCAGCTGCAACATGAACCTTCATCACTAGATATCACAACATTCTACACACTGTACCTTTAAGTTCAGTTTTTT